CCCCCCCCCACACACAGGGAACACTCATTCCAAAGCACAAATTATGTAATGACTTAGAGCACATGTGCTAAAGCCAGAATGTCCGCAGGGCTGCTTCGTAGCTGTGTAACCTTGGGTAAGTTACTTAACCTCTCTGGGTCTAAGTTTTCTAATTGGTGGGAGCTGGGTATGGTAATAAGTCATAGGTCCTAGCCCAGTGGTTGGCAAACTTATTAGTCAACAGAGCCAAATATCAACAGTACAACAATTGAAATTTCTTTTGAGAGCCAAAATTTTTAAACTTAAACTATATAGGTAGGTACATTGTTATTAGCTTAACTAGGGTGCTCCTAAGCTGGCCTTTGCTAAAAACGTCCTCAATCTGATTGAGGTACGTTCGCTGAGGTCGACCCCTTCCAACTCTCCCATCCACACCCGTCTTGTATACTTGTTCCGTCTATCTCCTTTCGTTCATCCTCTCTGTATGTCCAAACCATCTCAACAGACCTTTCTCAATCCTCGACACTACATCTTCTTTCACTCCACAACGTTCCCTAAAATTAACTTAATAAACTTTACTTAGAGTTTTAAGTCAACTTCGCACTTAAACTTATTTTGTGGAAGAGCCACACTCAAGGGGCCAAAGAGCCGCCTGTGGCTCGGGAGCCGCGGTTTGCCGACCACTGTCCTAGGGCTGGGAGGAGCTGAGAACTGTGCCTGCGCATAGTGAGAGTTAGGCTTCCGATGAAAGTTGTTTTCTAAGAGGGCTCCCAGCTTAGCCGGTTAGAAGCCGCCCCCTCCCGCTCTGCGTTCCGTCGCCCTGTGTGTGGGCATGCCTGTGCACACATGCCCCGCGCATGCCTGTGCCTGCGAGCCCACACGGCTACCTGGGACATCTGGCCCCGGGCCTCGCCCGCGCTTCCCTCTTCTCCCTTCCTTTCAGCCGCCTCGCCATCTGCAGGGTTCTGGAAAGTGCTAAAGTGTCTGAGCTAAAGCAGCGCTATCAGAGGAAATATTTTGAAAACAATCTTTCCTCAGCAAAGAATTTCACAACTCGGACGTGGGCAGGCGGGCGGGGGGAGTTTGAGGAGGGGGGGGGGGTGCCAGCTGTCCTCTGGAGAAGCCCCGTTGCTGCAGGGTTAAGGACAGACACGCCTGAGATCGGGCCGTGGAATCTGTGAGTCAGTCATGGCGGGGAAGTCACCCCGACCACAGGGTCAGGCACCCTGTCCTATTTCTATTCTGAAATCTGCTTTCCTTTCACTGTTCCTTGTCTGTGTCACCTGGTGCTGCTGCCCGGGGTGGGTTGGGGGGGTGGGGGGGAGATACACAGGAACTGGGTGACACAGCTCACATGCACAGCACCATGTTTGCACCTTTTGGGGCTGTGCTCATTGAGTTCTCCCAGGAAGCTCCTGAGGGAGGTGCTGCTCTTATGGCCACTTTATAGCCGGGCACACGGAACCACACAGGCAGAGTAAGCCGCTGCCTTCCCACAGCTGGTGAGTGCAGGGTGGGGGGCGGTCTGAGCCCGGCAGCCTGGCTCCATCAGGGCCCTCAACCTGCCATGGTACCACCTGTGTCTGTCCTGCTGTGGCTGCTGCCCGGGAGGCCGAATGGTACACAAGAACTTCTTTAGATTTTATTTCGTAACTGTGGCCAGGGTGTGCCACTGGGTCAGGCCAGGACGCTCAGGGAGGCTGGCTCCAGGGGTACCCTGGCCCCTGTGGGCACCGCACGTGATGTCTGAGCCTCGCCTTCCCCAGGCTGACCTGGGCAGGGCCTTCCTGATGGTACAGCAGCCCCCGATGCCAGGCCAGCCATCGGCTGACTGCTGCTCCCCTTGGCAGTGACCTGGTCTAGGAAGTGGCGTAGACAGATGGCAACAAGAGGGATTTACATGAATAAGCAGGAACTAGCAGATCGGGCCTTTGCAGCAAGACGGAAACCCCACCTGGAGTTTAAGCACCCTGAATAGCAGCCCCAGCCTCCTCTCGCCAGCCCACGCCTTGGACTCGGTATCCCAAGTCTCAGACTTCCCAGCCGCTCGGGTCCTGCTCCCCGTAGCCTCTCCAGCTGCTGAGAACCCTCTCCTTCCTCCTTTCCGGCGGCCAGCTCCCTCCATCCTCAGCTCTCAGTTTGGATGTGTCCTGGGCAGGTCAGCAGCCCTCCTTACGGCTGCCTGCATGCCCCCCTCGTTGCACTTTACGCCTCCTGTGTGGCCATTGCGGGTTTCATGGCTGCCCTCCACCGGTATGAGCTCTGGGCGGCAGGACAGTGTCCGCCTTGTTCGCCCTGTGGGCCCCGCGTTGAGCCAGCCTGGCCATGTAGTGAGTGCGCGTACCTGATTGTGGAGCCATGAGTGAGGGGTGTGGTGTGGGGCCCTGGGATGACGGAGGCGTGGGTCTGCCCCTCCAGGAGCTACTGGCTGGACCGGGCCCACCCTCCCAGGATAGGATGCTCCTGCTGGGAGTGACCTGTGTCTGGGCAGAGGTGGTGGCAGCCATGGTGAGTGGGAGGGGGCAGCTGACGAGGACGAGAGGCCCTGTGTGGGACAGGGAAGGAATGGAGAGTGGGACCCTGAACAGGTAGTTTTTCTCACAGTCGTTACCCTGCGGGTGCTGGGCTGAGAGCCCGGGGACGGGCCTGAAACCTTCCGAGAAGCCCCTGTGAGTAGGTGGGCTGGTGGGTGGGTGCACTACGTATGGGGCCCCACTGCTCAGCCCCACGGCAAGTGCTTCTTGTTCCTGTCCCCTGTGGGCGGATATCTGTTCAGCCTCTCCAGCATTCGGCTCTGACCCCCAGGTGATGGGGACCGCAGGAGGCTGAGTCCCAGCCCAGCTGGCAGGCTGCCTCCTGGGGGTGGTTTCAGCTGCAGCCCTCAAGCTGTCCTTGCAGAAGTACCGGGGCCCAAGTGCTACATTCTCCCCCACCCTTCCCAGGGAGCTCACATGAGGGTGCTGCGGCCCGGGCCTCACCTCTCCAGGTGCTGAGTACCTGCCGATGCCTGACACTGTGCAAGGTGGGCTGGGGGTAGCAGAGACACCTCCAGGCTAGAAGAGGAGAGGAGACCAGCACAAATAACCACTTTTGAGCCCAACTGTGATGAGCCCACAAAGGTGGGCGTGAAGGAGGACTTGGGGACGGCTTCCTGGGGAGCTGGGACGGATAGTGCAAGAAGGGAACCTGGGCGAAAGCACAGATGGGCAAGTTCAGGTGGAATGCAGGGAGGGTGAGGAGTCCAGTGGGACTGGACTGTGATTTGCAGGATGCACAATGAAGAGAGAGAGGGAGAGAGAGAGAGAGAGAGAGGGAGAGAGAGAGAGATATGAGGCAGGAGAGAGTTGAGTGACATATGCATGTCCTAGAGCCAGGCTGCCTACACGGAAACGCTGCTCCTCACTTACAGGCTGTGTGACCGTGACCAAGTTGCTTACCCGCTCTGTGCTGCCTCAGTTTTCTCATCTGTAAAATGGAGATACTAACAGTATCCACCACGTGGGGGTGATAGGAGGATAAACTGTGTTTCTATATTAGTGTGTAGAGCAGAGCCTGGCACACAGCATCAGGAAAAGATATTATCCCCTTTTAACAAATGTAGCTAGAAAAGTAAATTGAGGACAGACCGTAGAGGCCTTTGAATGTCACACTTTCCATTTGCTAAGCACCTGCTGGTTGCCAAGTACTTTACAGACATTCTCCCCGAGCCCCACACAACCTAGCAAAGTCGTTAGCAATGTCTCCATTTTACAGATGAGGAAACTGAGGCTCAGAGAAGCAGAGTAACCACCCAAGGTCACTCAGCTTAGAGGAGCCAGAGGCAGTAATGAAACCAGGTCTGTCTGGTCTTCCCTCAGGGTGAAGATGGGACCAGCATGGGGAAGTCTGTAGGCTGGGGTTGCAGCCAGGAGCGGTACCCATGGGTCCCTGGGCAGGGAGGGCAGGAGGTAACAAGGGAGATGTTGGACAGGCCTGGAAGGCCAGGAGACCGGAGGCCACAGAACACAGCTCACCATTCAGAGCCCAGGGGCAAGCCGCTGAGTCATTTTGGGAAAACATGACGTCACTGAGTCTTGCTGTCTGCTGCCCACCTGCCAATGTGCCCTCTGTGGCTCTCCTGTGACCTCGTGCCCGAAGTTCTGCAAGGAGAC